TCGTTTTTGGTATGGATGTTTATTGCAGTATTGTCCTGTATATTTCTTTGAGGACATTTCCTCTTCATTGCTCACATGACAATGTGTTTTGAGTCCTGGAAAAATATAAATAAAAATGGATGAATTTACAAGTATTGTGAATAACAGTATTTAAGTGGATGTGTTTTGGAATCCTGAAATTTAAAACGGAATGCTTTTAGTAGTTTGTTTCAACCAAAAATATTTGGTTAACAGGCCTTTAGCCTTTTTTTCTTTTTTGCGTTAATGTTTGATCCCTTTCAGATAAAACTTGAGCAAGCAAGATTATCATGGCTATTAATATGAAATATGTGGAAATGATTCCACCCAAAAATAGAAAACTGGTTGCCCTACTCTCAAAGTTACTTCTTCTATTTCTTCAAATGAAGATGTTTAACTGGCAACCTTGGCTTAGTCATGTGCTCATCATTTTACACCTGTTTTGAGATATGTATTGTGTAAACGGTGCTTTAAAATTCAATTGGGCGGTGGTGTGTTTGCAACCTTTTCATCACTCTAGAGAGTAGTTCCTCAAGTATTTCTAGCTTTGTACAAGTCATTGAGCAGCCAAGAACTATGAACTTCTTACCAATATCATGTGATCTGGCATATATAAAATGGCATATCATAAAAACAAATAGTTATTCCATATTTTATAGGATAAAATAAACTGTTTTGTCATAAACTTACATCCATTTTAACATCTAGATTACAAATGTAGCTATTAAGATAGGAATGTCTCTGATTTATCTGTACTATTCATTCAAACACTCGATGGGTCCATTTTCATGGCAGTGTTACACCTTTCTTCCATTTCTTACTCTTCAAGTTTGGTTTGTTCTCAGAGGTTGAATAATATGTTCAGGCAGACCTGTCTGCATTTGTGTGCAATCTATTTACCTAAGTACATGTGCATATGAATGATGTCAGTTTGTTTAAAAATGGATGAATTTACAAGTATTGTGAATAACAGTATTTAAGTGGATGTGTTTTGGAATCCTGAAATTTAAAACGGAATGCTTTTAGTAGTTTGTTTCAACCAAAAATATTTGGTTAACAGGCCTTTAGCCTTTTTTTCTTTTTTGCGTTAATGTTTGATCCCTTTCAGATAAAACTTGAGCAAGCAAGATTATCATGGCTATTAATATGAAATATGTGGAAATGATTCCACCCAAAAATAGAAAACTGGTTGCCCTACTCTCAAAGTTACTTCTTCTATTTCTTCAAATGAAGATGTTTAACTGGCAACCTTGGCTTAGTCATGTGCTCATCATTTTACACCTGTTTTGAGATATGTATTGTGTAAACGGTGCTTTAAAATTCAATTGGGCGGTGGTGTGTTTGCAACCTTTTCATCACTCTAGAGAGTAGTTCCTCAAGTATTTCTAGCTTTGTACAAGTCATTGAGCAGCCAAGAACTATGAACTTCTTACCAATATCATGTGATCTGGCATATATAAAATGGCATATCATAAAAACAAATAATTATTCCATATTTTATAGGATAAAATAAACTGTTTTGTCATAAACTTACATCCATTTTAACATCTAGATTACAAATGTAGCTATTAAGATAGGAATGTCTCTGATTTATCTACTATTCATTCAAACACTCGATGGGTCCATTTTCATGGCAGTGTTACACCTTTCTTCCATTTCTTACTCTTCAAGTTTGGTTTGTTCTCAGAGGTTGAATAGTATGTTCAGGCAGACCTGTCTGCATTTGTGTGCAATCTATTTACCTAAGTACATGTGCATATGAATGATGTCAGTTTGTTTAACTGGTCTTACTGCATTTTCTCATCTTGAATCTGGAATGTGGATGCTCAAGTTCCCTGCCCTCCCTTCTTGTCTATTCAGTTCTAACACTTTCTAGTCTTATCTCAATGTGCTGCATAAATTCCCATAACTAACTTGCGTCTATGATTTTAGGTTTGTTTGACTTTACTGTCTTGTTACACATCATATTAAATGTCATAGATAAATCTAGCCTTAAACTGACACACCCACTAGTGTCTGAACCCTGATTAACCAACATAATGTAGTCTTTTAATATTCTTTTAATAAAAATGTTATGTGCCTGAACTGATGCAAGAGCCCCATAAAATATTATGTGTGTTTACATCCATAATAAGTCTCAGTATTTCACAACAATTTCTGTTATTTCAAGTTGATTTATGAGTCGAAATTATGAGAGGTCTACTGTTTCGATTTGTTTACGGAATTGAGAATATGCTCCCTTTTATCAAACTTTTATGGAAATTCAAAATGTTTTATATAGTTACATGCTTATAAACATATATACTTTATTTGTAAAAAGAACAAGTATTTTCAACAGAACTGAATATAGCCAATATCGAAGGGTGAGAACCAGAAGGGCGTAAGTGACATTTTTGGTGAAATGGAGATATACATACTATATATCAAATGAAAGCTCTTAATAAGATCTTTCTACTGGCAAAAGTACTGTCATCAATGAGTGTACACATTTTTATTATAAACAATTGAAATCAGTACACAAAGTCAGTTCAAACTATGGTAAAATTTTAGTTTTGGCTCTCCTGTAAAGTTGGTGAAATGTCACTTACGCCTTTCTGGTTCTCACCCCTCGATATGTAGGCTACTATGTATAATAAAAGTAATATATGTAATAAAAATGACAAAACTAAGCTTTAATTAATCAAATATCTAACGTTAAGCCTACAAAAAATGAATGATATAATAATATAAATGTAAATAAATTTATAAAATAAATATTTTGGCAACTTTTATTTATTTTGTATGAATTATAAGTGTCATACGAAGTTCAGATAAAATAAAAAATAAAAAAAACCCTGAAGAGCCTCCTTGGTGTCATCCGTAAACTATGCAAATACAAAGTGTGCTTTGTTCTCAGCGGCGAATGGCACGTTGCTTCATGGGCTGGTAGAATCTGACTGTTCACCTGTTGCCAGGTGTGAGTAGGAGTCAGGACGGTCGTAACAACCGAGACAGACAACACCGCAGCATGCCAACGACATGCAACGGAATATCTGCGACGACTGAAGCCCATGATAACTTTCTTGCAAGCCCAATTTGTAAACGCCTGGATCTCACATAACCAGGACTCACGGAACAGGACCTTCTCAGGTATGGATTTTGTAGGCTATATGAGAATACGCCTTTGATAAGTCTTTTTTCATATACTTAGTCTTTACTAAGTTTTTTTTCTCTCAATGTTCTTTAATGTTTCTGTCAAGGTTCTCTATTAGCATCTGTGGTTCAATGAAGAAACTTCCATTGCATAAAAGGTTCTTTAATACAATAATTAGGTAATTATAATGTTTGTTACAATAAGACAAAATGATTAATTTAAAGGTTCTTTGGGGAACCTGAAATGGATTTTAATGGCATCGCTAAGAAAATAGAGAAACTCTTTTTTTAAAGAGTGAAGAATGTCTGCAAAAGAAAATATTTTCTCCCAGTAGCATGTTTTGTTTTAATTTGCAGAAAGAAATGATTTGTAATGCTGTCAAATAAAATAAGGTATTTTAGTGAGCTTATTGGTTTTGTTAATAGCCAGTAGATCAATCTGACTATTATTATTGAAAAAGTGCTTTGTGAAATTACCTTTAACAAATCAATATAGCAGCAACTAAGTTTTACTTCACCAGGTGAAAGACATGGCCCAAACACCCACACGAGTGACGGCCAATGAGCTCACACAGGACAACAGTCAATCTGTGGAAGGCAAATTGAGCTCAGAAGAACAAGAGGTGAGATTGAATATGCTGCATGCTTTTACTTAGATTACATTGGTAGAGGTCACATGGCAGCACTATATTAACTTAATCTTTATCAGATTAATATTGTACAGTTTGATGTACTTTGTCCTGCAAAAGATTACAGACACTGTATCATGATGAGATTACACAAATGGCATTGATTGCTACAGTAAGTGTTGCGAGATATTAGTAAGCTCTTGGGCATGTGAAATGTGTTGTTCCTGGGAGCATGCACCTTTTATAGTATCTATTTCACAGAATCACAAACAATATTTGACAATTTTATTTATTTATTTATTGAATTGCTGTGATTTGACCTCACAGGGCCTGGAAGTCAGTGGGCAGTGCATAGCAGCACCTCAGTCACCTGAAGCATTGCTTTACACTATTTATAAACAGAGGAGTGACGAGTTTCGGAAGTTATTCAAAGAGGTGTCTGAGTCTGAGAAACTAATTGCAGGTGAGACTAATAGAAGGAGACAGAGAGGTAAAACCCTAACCCCAAACAAACAAACAATGTAAAAATATGCTCTACTGAAAATGTTTGTTGGCAGAGCCACAATATTTGTATAACCATATTAGATGTTGTTTGAATGATCCATCTTTTCCCTAGACTACACCTGTGCTCTCCAGAAGGATATCTTGTTACAAGGACGCATCTACCTTACAGAGAATTGTTTATGTTTCTACAGTCATGTTTTTCGTGGTACAAAAGTGAGTTCCAAAGAAAGATGATGTTATGTATTCACTGTACCTCTAATATATGCTATGCCTCTATCTATATACATATAATGAGCCTAGCTGAGATACTTCATTAGTAATTTCGGTTATGGATTCCATTGCTCTGCTTTAATAAACCTAATAAACTTGATTTTGTCTTAGATCACAGTAAATATGCAGGATATCATCTCAATATTACGAGAGAAGACAGCAAAATGGATACCAAATGCCATCCAGATCAATACTAATTCAGAGAAGGTAAAGTTCAGAGATCAAAGGTTTTACATTCTTGCTTTTTCCTATTTATGAAGATACATGTATAGGATAAATTCATATATATATATATATATGTATATATATATATATATATATATATATATATATATATATATATATATATATATATATATATTAATATACATATATTGTCATTTTCCACAGTTGTTCTTTAGCTCATTTTCAGCAAGAGAGAAAAGTTTCCTGGGTATGTTTCGGCTTTGGCAGAACGTTCTAATGGAGAAGGTGATTTCTTTCTTTCTTTTTAACATTTTCCTTTTTAACCTCACTATCGTTGTTTTAGATGATTTAAATATTCTTTATATTTACATATCTTCTAAAGCATATTACCTGCATGATGTACATCACTGTACATTTTTACTCTACAACAGCTTATTCTGAAATATGATCTGAAATAGATATGTAATAGGAACGGGGTTGCCAGAAGCAGAACACTTATTCTCAAGAACACTTCCATTATCAGTTTTACAGTGTTGAGTCAGTCTTAATTGCTGACACAAACTATTTCTTTGTAGCTTAGGGTGGATACTAATGTGGCATATTAATACCATATGAGGAAAACAGACAGAATAATACTCTATAGACCTATGGTCAGGGATATGCTTAAGTGTAAACAACCTAAATCTGTAGGGCACACTTGACAAGGCAGCAAATAAATGTATAGTTCATTGACCCCATCGAGACGTGGCTTTCTTCAACTGAAAACAGAAAATAGTGCCTCTTTCCTTACATGCACTAGGAACGGCAGAGCTAAAATGACAGGAAAATTAGTATAGCGATATGATAAACGAATAAAGCAGATATGCAGTTTAAGGCAATGAATAGCGCACCACTAGGCGGCGCAGTTGTAGCCTTTCGTGACTTCCTGATTTCAGCACGAGTCGCGCGCTACACGCGCTCAGGTTACTGGGGTTCAGCAGGTAGGTGACGAGACGGAGAGACTTTACCCACCGTCAGATTTTACGTAGAGTTGAGAATATATTACACACGGTGCTACTTCTTTAAACATGTCATGTATTTGTAAATAGGTGGGGAATTTTTAGAGCTTCATGAATCCATAAAATGTATTCGCGTCAGTTTGTTGTGTTAATGTGTCCGTGCCATACGGCCTTGAAACTATGTTTTGCTTTTCGTTGTGATTGTTTGGCCACTTTTTTTTAAACCGACGCGAATATTAGTGAACTTTATACTCGAAAGTCTTTTTTCATATAGGTTTTATTTGAGTTTTTCAGCCACATTTTGTCGAGTAACTCTTGCCTGTGTCCGCTGATACGGTCTATTTACATTTACAATGTGTGTCGCTGAAACATCTCTACGCCTTATTTCCATGGTAACCGCAGTTTTCGGCAGTCTTCCATCGTTACGACTGCGAATGGAATTGAACTGAAAAGGCAAATTTTAAAAAACAAATTTTTGGGGAGGAAAAAATCCACCTTTTTATTATAGCACTGTACTGCACTTTGGCTGATACTGGCTATATAGTATCTATTTACATAATATTATTTGCTTGTTTTTATTATTTTGTTTTTAAACAAAGGGTTGTTTATTACTAATAATTTGTACCAAATAATGTCAGTGTCATTTGCCCTCCCAACATATTTGCTCCCTGGTCAGTGATGTGTGAAGCAGGTTAGGGCTGTTTTATCTGCTGTTTTAGATTAACATCAGTACAGGAACTTGAGTTTTTTTCCAACGTGCAGATGGGAGAGGCGGAAACATGTGAGTGTACATTGCTCAATGTAGCTTTCCTGTCTTGCAGAAACTGACCAAGTTGGAGCTGTTGCAGATGGTTAAGCAGCATTATGGCAACGACTTAGGATTGAGTCATGATGAAATGGAAAGCATTCAATCATCAGTAGATACCGTCACACTTACCGTGCCCAGGTTGACTACACACATGTACACACAACCAATCACATCTTCACATGTCAACGCCTGTTTGGACAACTGAGAGATCAGTTACTTGGTTTTAAGGTCCCATCTCTCTGTTGCAGTCTGAATATGCGTGGAGAGGATTACACGGGGAGACCAGAAAGGCCCACATCGCTTCGTCTTCCCCAAGGGGAGCTGAATTCTTATGAGGCCACCACACCACAGGGAGACGACACACAGTCTTCAGTAGGACTGCAAAGCATGCTCTCAGCAAATGGAGGGGTACGTTGACAAATGTTTCTTTGGCAGATGGATTTTTCCTGAAATTGTTTGTATAATGACTGGTAGGGTTGGGTGATACAGTGGAAAAAAAATCTCAAAACATTTCAGTCTTTAAACTATAATGTAGGTGACAATTTTATTTAAGAACTTGTTTGAGATTTTACCAGATTTTTATTTTTATGAACATTTATTTCCTACCTACAAAAATATTATATTTTTTTAAAATCAGAAATATAAATTTTAAAGATTGTGTATAATTATTATTATTTTTTAATTTTTATTTTGTTTGTTGGTCGAAATAATATTGTATGTTATTGTTATTAAGACTATTCAACAAAATCACTGTGAATATATAGTCAGAATTCTATCAATGGTCAACCTGTTGAATCTTTTTGTACTCTGCATTTGATTCGCTTATAAAGATTAAAGAAAGTACAATGTCTTTGATGTAGAGCTCATTAATGGCATGTTCAAAGTTTAAGGTTTTGAACTTGATATATGTATCAAAATCTCAACAGGATGACACTCTCAGTACCCCGTCCCATCAGCGCAGTCCAAATCTGTCATTAAACCGCTCAGGGTCTGAACGAGTGTCTAAACGCTCCTCTCTCTCTCTGGATCTAAATGCCAATGAAGACCAGATCTCCGATAACAGCAGATCTGACAGCCTGGAGGAGGGTGAGTTGTTTGTGTGTGTGTCTTAGCTATGTCTCATTCCATGGCTGTTTTGATGCATTTTGGTTACGTCAGTATTGATTTCTTGTAGTGGAAGAACGTGAGACAGCGTCTCCCGTGTCTCAGGGAAGGCTGTTTGTGAACCGGGTCTTTCACATCAGTGCTGAGAAGATGTTTGACCTGCTTTTCACTGATTCTAATTTCATGCGGAGGTTTATGGATATCAGGAAGATCATAGGTACGTTTCTCTTTCCTTTTACCTCTCTTACAATCATCAGTTCCATTCCTATATAAATGTGATTGGTAACTTTTCATTTCAGCATGTAGTAGACTTTGGTCCTCCAGAAATATTGTGTTATATTTTTGCCAGTGTTATTCATGTACTATTATACTCTTTATTAGGGCTGCAACAACTAATCGATAAAATTGATTCATCATCGACAAATTACGCAAAATCACTGAATTACGCATTTTTATGGACAAAATGCATCAAAAAATAGTGGAGGAAACAGAATGAGTTGCTGCGGGAGTGTTACGTGATCCAAGCTGCCCAAAACATGATAATTCTTTATTTTAAGCTAATGCATTAGCGTAATGGCTTGCATAAAGGTCCGTCCTGACAGTCTGTGTTGAGTTTTAATCTTTACTGAATGAGCGCCGGTGTTCTGACAAATAATGCTACCTGTCAGATTATGCTACCATCACTGTATTTATCCTACTGTACGGGTAGGTTTAGGGTTGGGGTAGGTGTACATGTTAATAAAGTAGGGCTGAATGATTTTGGAAAATAATTTAATTGCGATTTTTAATGTGCAATTCTTTTTTTAAAGCTCTTTATGTTCTGTATTATTCAACAAAGACAAGCTATAAATCATTGTATAGTATGAGCAACACACTATTAGATAGATTAAACATAAATGTTATTTTCTGTAGGCCAGGCCTATAGGTTACAGTGAAATTAGGTGATGCATGAATTGATATGAATTACATTTTTATTTAACTACAATCACAGTATATTGACTGATCTGTTGAACTTCCAACCTTGTAAGTATGTAATAATTATGACAACATAAAGCACTGACAAGTAAGTCTGGTGTAAACCTTAATATGAAAGTCAGTAACAAATCACACAAACTAAAGTATGTTGCAGAAATATAAAAACAAATCTGTTGCTTTACCACACTACTTTAGGTCATTCAAAGTCACTGTAATAAACACATGTAAACATGTGGACTGCACTAAACACTGTTTTATTTCTTTTATTTTTCTGCTGATGGTCCGCGCTTGACTTGAAGCAGCGCTGCTTAGACCGATAGGTGTTTGTCATCAAAGTACTGTGAGAGCTATAAGACAGTGAATCTCAACCTTTTGGCGTACCGGACCCCAGTCAATTTAGAACCATCCTAAAGGACCCCCAGAACAAAATTGACTCCTCTATGTATCATTTGTGTCTTTCTCTCGCCGTACTTTGATGTCATACACCGATCGATCTTCAAGTCGAACACACCTCTTTACTCTCGTGTGTCACGTGACCGAGTGTAATCGCAGCCTCTGCGATTGAAAAATCGCGTTTTTTCATATCGTGATATTATCGCAAATGCAATTAATCGTTCAGCCCTATAATAAAGCCTCACACCTTATTAATATCATGCTGGAAGCAAAATCTGATAGGTAGCACTTTTCGCTATCGAATTATGCTACCATCTGTTTTAATGGGAGGTAGCAAAATCTGACAGGGTAGCACAAATCGCCAGAACACCGGCGTGGCAGGCACGTGCGTCAGACAGATGGAAAAGAGAGACAATAATCAGCACAAAAACATTTATCACATATCAAGTTAAATCGAGGTTTAAAGGTAAACATGCATTGCGAGTATTTTATGAGAGTAGGAACTGTAAGGGGATAACAGCGTGTAGTTGTCTGAATATAAATATCAGACGCTTCATAACCGCCTATTACAGGATAAAGAAATGACAGTAAGACGTGACTGTGATCAAAGTGAACGTGTTCCTGCAGAACATTAATCTTACCTATTGGTTACCTATTATGGAGTTTGTGATTTTATTCGTCTTTATCACCGTTATTATTTTAATTTTTAATGCAAAGATTTAAACTATATACATGTATAGCTATATACAATGCTTAAATTTATTAAAACTAATTTATGTAAGGTTTTTAACAAATTATGGTTTGTGCCACTGCTGCTTTAAACTAACAGTACTGGTGATTACCAAAATCATTTTTTAGCTTTCTGTATTGGTTAGTCCTCCAATATGTGTAAGCTCTTTAGTAACAGTAGTAGGCTATTTCTAATGCTATAATATAATTATTGCTGTTATCTATGAAAGAAAGGCAGAGAGCTTTATAGTGTTTTTTTCTTCAGATACCCAATTACAGTCAAAAAGTGCATAAACAATGCCAGCAAGAATGCAAGCTGTTATGAAGGGCATAGGAGCCTTTTTTATGTGAATAAATACTATTTAGTTGTTTAAGTTTATTTGCCCAATAAATGACAATAATGACAATTATTGATAATTTTATTTACAAAATGTGTTTTATATTTATATTTACCTTTAATTTATATTTATTCAGTTATTGTCCAAGGCAACATTTCTAAGTTTAAGTTTTTCATCTTGATTGATTTATTTATTTATTGATTTCACTTACCAAAACAATGTTTTATAATATTGTAGTTTTAGTTAAAAAATACCAACATTGGTTTTTGCATTTATTGCTTTGCCATACAGTTTATAGTAACAAAAGTTTATAGTAACAAAAAAATTACCTGACAGGTGCAAGCTCTACCTCTTGGCAAAGGGAGGAATCTGGTGGTATGAAAAGGACTTTGAACTTCACCATCACCATTAATAACCCCCTGATTGGCAAGTTTTCCACTGCCACAGAAACCCAGGTTAGAGTCACAACTTTGTCTTTGTTCCAAAAACTAGCGAATTGCACCACTGTTTGCTACCTACGCAGGAGATTCAAAAGTGACTTGTGATTTTTGTGTCAAACAAATTGTAAAAATTGTTGTACAAACTTATTGAAAGGCTGCGTTTCATTGGTTGCACTGTCAGCTAACATGCAGTATTTGGTTATGTCACATTTATATTTAGAGACTTGGTTAGCAGGAAGGAGCTGCAGTTGTGGATCACAAGTTTCTGTGAATTCTGAGGGGTGATGGGTCCTTCCTTTGATTATTTTTGTAATATTTGCACCTGTTGTTGCCACTTTTATCTTACAAATCTGACAAATCAGTATGTCCAGTCTAGTTGTCTGTGCTTTGTCAGTTGTTTTTGTGTGAAATTAAATCCATAAAACAATAAATTAGTTTGCCAGAACCATTTTAACTGAACTTCACATACATTCTTCTGGTCTTTCAGCTCTTAGTCTGCGATGCAAAGAATAGTTAAAAAATATACCCACTGTTTTGTTTAAAACAATTAATTAGGCAATAGACAGCTTTTGTTTCCATTTATGTTATGCAACAATTAACATTTTTAACAATAAAATGACTGGAGGTGTGCTGCAATTACAAATTCAGCTTCATCCAGTTATTTGATCTAATCGTGGCTGTTTGAGCTAATTGGACTTTAAAGTTGATGCAATAATCATGTTTTTATGCAGTAATGACCTGCTTGATGACTGTGTCTACATTCATACAATGAATGTGTAGGATTGACTCTCAAATTGTCCTGTACATACAGCAGTGCACAGGATTGAATAATGTTGCATAATATCTATATGGACACGTAACCAAACTAAACTGAACAGAACCATATTTAGCAATCCAAACAGGACTGACATCTGTATTGTGCTGCTGTGTAAATTCGTCCTGTATGTGTATGTGGAATATTTTCTGATTTCTATTCCTTGTGTATTTTAGACACTATATAAAGAGTCGAGGGAGGGTCAGTACTACATGATAGATGCAGAGGTCTACACACATGATGTACCTTACCATGACTACTTCTACACTCAGAATCGCTACTGTATCATCCGCAACTCCAAGCACAAGTGCAGACTCAGGTGAGCGGTATCCTCATATCTGTACGTCTAACCACTTTCATTTTGACTATAGCACTGAAATCTCTTGATGTAAGAGCCATTTAGTAAATAGTTGAACTCATGATCTCTCTGTGCAGGATTTACACTGATGTCAAATACAAAAAGCACCCATGGGGTCTTGTGAAATCCTTTATCACAAAAAACTCCTGGAGTGGCCTAGAAGACTACTTCAGACACCTTGGTTGGTATAATGCATTTTTACTTTCCCTAACCCTCTATTTTCCCTTTTTACTCATCCGTTTAACTTCTTGTAGATTGTGCCCATTTTCTAGATCAGTGTTTCCCAACCGGGGTGCCGCCTGTCAAGAGCAGGGGTGCTGTGTAAAAAATCCTTTTTTAATATTTTTAAATTGCTAAAATGTTCAAAAAAGCATCTATTATATAATATCCATTTCTGATATTATATAATTAGCCAATAATTAGAGATGCACCGACATTTTGGCTGCCGAAAATTAGTTCACTGCTCAGGTTTCACTTTCACGAGGTGTGACGCTCTGCGTATTATCCACTCTATGCGTGTGTGCTCCGCTCAGTCGCACCACTCATATACCGTTCATGCGAATCGGAACAGCAAAGTCCACTCAAAAATTGAGCCGACGGGAAACATCGATGTAGTACAGTATTGTTTCTGTCTGCAATAGCCCTGCTGTGTTGTAACATGGTGTGGTATATGGGCAACTCTGGTAACGCTGCCCTCACATTCATTGATCTGCTAACCACTGTTATGCTCGCGTGTTTTGATAATAATAGCTTTCTAGGACTAAACATTATTTGGATAATAGGTAAAAATTAAATATCTTAACCCTACTGTTAGACCTACCTGAAAAACTAAAAAGCTATTTATTTCATTCGAAGGCCTGTCATTATTTTTTATTTGTGCTATCATTATTAATTTCTTTATTTGTTTTTATTTGTTCTTATTTTATTACTGACTGCTTACTTGTCATTTTTTATTCAATTCAAAGTTTTAAATCAAGCTATCTCGTGCTACTGCACCAAAATTACCCCACTGTAAAATAAAAAAAACACTGAATGAGCAAAAATTTGTGAGATAGCTAGTTATAATGGTAATTAAATAATGTTTACATATGTATAAAAGCCTACATTAAAATCAGTCCTATAAATTGGTCTCTTCATTAGAAATTAGCCTACTGATTGCCACCATTGATGGACAATTTTTTTTAATAAAATAAAAAATATCTGTATGACATTATATTCTGCAGTTCTTCCCTGTTGTACCAAATATCTGTACTTTTCAAATTATCACATCGAAGTTAGAAATTCAAATATTGTGACAAAATTAATTTTGTAGGGTGCCACAAGTTTGTTAAAATTTTTCCAAAGGGTGCCGCGACTAAAAAAAGGTTGGGAAACACTGTTCTAGATGACTGAATGTCACTAATTATATTATGTCACTGTTCACTTCATAAGGTTCACAGTTATTATAGTTAGGCTATATATAGAATACAACTAAAACCATAAAAAAGTTAATAAAAATAACTAAAATAAAAAATAAAATATAAAAATAATTTGTTACTTCTAGTTCCCAAGTCAACATTTCTCATTTTCATTTAGTTTAACTTGATGTACTAAAATAATTAAAGCTAAAACTGAAATAAAAATGATATAGACATATTTACAAAATAAAAAAGACAAAACCACACACATTTTTTTTACTAAAACTATAAAAGTAAAAGGAAAACAGAAAATATAATATATAAACTTTCAAATTAATTAATATTAATAAAAACCTATAAAAGTACAAGTAGCACTGCTTTATAGTGGGCCAGTCTGCAATCCATTGCCTTGTCTGAGTCTATATATCCTTCGCTACAAATCAAAACAGAACAGCGTATAAAACACTTCAAAACAAAATAACAATATAAAGCTATAGTCCAAAACTAATATGGATTAATATATTTTTTCCTTATCGACTGGAAATAGATAGCTGGCTAATAGCTTCTCTGCCATGGGATGTTGGATTAGGGAATTAAAAGAGTAATGAACATTAGTGACCTGATGAGAGTGTCTAGGGAGGGCTATTAGCAGCATGGATGTGTCCGTTTCCTATTGGTGAAATGCATCAGTTAGGGTGCTTTCACACTTGGTTCGATTGCTTGGTCCGAACCAGAGTTCGATTGCTCCCCCCTCCCCCTGCCCCCGCTGGACTGTGTTTGTATTATATTATTTGGGTCCGAACCGCGGTTCGTTTGCGTTATCAAGCCAGCAGCTGTTTACCCCGTTGCTTAGTAACGATGGTGCAAGAAAAGACTGCAAAATGCATAGCATTGCTCTCTTCAATTTTATATTTATGCTTTTGAACCGTTGGTTTTGTTTCCAAAGCTTCAGTACATAACTGCACTTACATCTGCCTTATGCAAATGCTCTAAAGTACTCTGAAGGCAAACAGAAATGAGATATATAGCTCTCTGCTTGCAGCGCGTCAGTCACGCTCGTCAGGAAAGTGAGTGAAACACACATTTTTATCAAATAATACGTCATAAATAGCGTTTCACTTCTGTGATTTGGTACGATTGCATTCACATCAGCAGCGAACCGTACCGGAGTTCACATGAACCGTACCTCAGACCACCCTTATTAAGCGGACTCGGGTACGGTTCAAGGGGTGCGCACCCGAGTTCGGAAGACAGCGTTCACATCATCCAAACGAACCGAACTCTGACGTCAATCGAACCCGGGTGTGCACCAAAAGTGCTAGTGTGAATCCACCCTTAGATCCATTGCCTGCAAGGCCATTTAATTACTTAACTACAGGGGTGCCAAAAGCCAGATCCATAATCGATCCACTGACCTTAAAATAACTCTGGACTCACAAATTAATGCATTTTTAATGATCTTCACCTCACAATGCACATTCCAGAGGCAGAGCTGCTTGAAGAGGAGGCAGAGTTGACTCAAGGAAGCGGAGATGCTGGAAAGACGGGTGGTTTGCGCAGAAGACGAAGAACTTACAGTCGCACCCTACAGGAACACATGAAGCCAGGGAAGCAGTACAGCGCAGACTTAGATCAGCAGAGAGACGGCACCATGGGTATAAATATATGTATAGTTTTAATCTTTGAATCCAATATCTCTGCTACTGGCCTTAAAATACTGATTAAACCACCAGAAATTGTTTTAATGCCAATAAGATGTTTGTTTTGTGGCCTATGCTTTTTAATATTTAAGCAAACATTGAAGACATTGTGTATTAGACTTATAACAATTAGACTTACATTGCATGTTACATTATAGGTGCCATGGATATAAAGAACACACAACACAGATGGAACATCACTTCGATTGTGTTTGGGATGAGCTTAATGTAAGGCTTCATTCACACTATAAGGCCTGTTTCACACCTCATACACACACAGTAAGCTGTGCGTAAGCTTGGAGCTCTGACATTGACAGTGTTTCTGCCGCGTAACAACCACAAAAGATTCTAGGTTACTACATTGTGTTTTTCCTCTAATTACAACCTAAAATCATAAAATGGTTGTTAGAGTTACTACTCTTGATTTGCATGAGGAAGGTGAGCACATTTTCATTCAAATGGTAAATAATCTACACATAACAGAATTGACTGCAAATTTTAACAAACAACTTAAAGCACATGTTTTCAGTAAGATTTAATGAATGGAAAGTGTTGTTTGTTTGGAACCTAGAATCCCGTAAACTTTCACTGTGTATTCCATATGTTGCTATTTTGCAAAAGATTGCGTTGATAAATGGGTTAACAGTGCATGTTCTCCATATTTTCTGCTGTGTTCAGTGTGCTGCAGTGGCAAAAATAGAAAATTTGCTGTGTGAACTTTCCAGCCTGTTAACATGGTTGCCAAAATAAACATATGCAGCTTACATCTGCAGTGTGAAACATGGAAGAAAAACTGCCAGTTTTAACCATGATGATTTAGAATTACTTAAAAACCTAATGTGCTTACGAATGTCACATTGTTTTGCCTCTCAGTCTTTTTGTTCTGGTGGTTCTGAACTTGGGGCTGTTCTATAAACTTTGGGCCATGGAAGATGTCGCTCACCGTATGTATCTGAACACCAAGCACAGAATGAAGGAGAGAGTAGAGTCCAGGTAAAGGCTCTTTCACATTGTAAATTTTGTGAATTTTTATGAACAAAACTGACTTCATGTTTTTATGTAGTTTGGCACCTGGCCAAGGGCCTAGACCGGGTATGCCACACAGAAGTCGAGAAGAAGCACATTTACTGAGAGCAGTACTGCAGGACTCCATTAACCTTCTAGAACAGGTATGTTTGGGTGTTCTATTAAACACACCCTGCAATGACATGTAAATGCAAAACAAACTGTGGTTGTTCAACATTACACATCAGTGAGATGATCCTTCCTGTCTAATTGGGCAGTTCTTGACCAGAAAAAGTTGATCTTATGTTGTTAGTCAAAACTATAGCTACATACGGTATCTCTATTGGCTGAGAAGTCTCTTATGTGATTGTTTATTTTTGCTGGTTCCTTCTCCACAGCTACGCAGTTCTCTTGTGGTGCTTCAGCAGACCTTTCAGGGCTACAACAGATCCTCCTCTCAGCTTTAAATGGCATTGAGTTTGGTGACCTGACAACAAAAGGGTTTTCTTCCCATAAGACTTGTCCTTGCTGAGGAGTGTTGCCATAGGTACTGTCACTTCAGGGCAGGCTCGTAGCCATGTTCATCCTCTCTCTGGGCTTTTTTGTTATGGTTGGATGTTTTTTTTTTTCTTTTTCAGTGCTGTTTTTGTCTTGGAGGGGACTTTCGCACTAGTACACTCAATTTCGCAAATTCCTCTTGGATTTACTAACTTGACCTTGAAGCTGAAGGAGAGAAGCAACAGTGCATTTTCTCATTCTTCAAATCTGATATTGCTGAAGTTAAACATTGAAGTAACAACAGTGTATCAGGTTGAAGCACAAGGGCTTCTCACAATCATGTCCTGAAATGCTTGATGCTAATTTGATGGACACACTTTTTTTTTTCTGGACTGCAACAGAAGTTTCAGATGTAATGGATTCAGTGCAGTTGCACAGGGTCTTAAATTATAAAGGGGGCAATGCAGGCCCATTGCCTCTAGCTCACTTTAAAGATCTGCCTAACATTTAGTCATGTGGCCTTTTTGTCTTGATTTAGATAATGTCCTTGTCTTAAGATCCCTCTAAGAATTTGTAAATGATTGCACCTTAAAACCTTATTAAAGCAGGGATCACTAGAGACCAATGATTATGCTTATTGAAATTGATGAATGCTTGTAGGTTTTGAATGTTTATCAGGATTTTAATAAAGTCTAATAGTACAAGTTTGTGTGAAGATAAAATATCTGAAGTTTACTGTAAAGGATGAGTGGTCATGTTTGATGTTTTAAATTGTTTACACTCTTGGTCTTTAAAATACCACTTTTGTTGTTCAAATTTTAGGGACCGTATTGTCACTGTGAACTAAATTTGTGACACATCATTGAAAAGTGTGGTAATTTATTAAAAGAGAATGTGTAATCCTCAAGCATTTAATTCTTTCACAGAAAAATATGTAAGGGGTGGATGTGTATAGATGTCTATTTTTTCTGCATAGATTGAACATTTTCTTCTGATTTTTTTTTTATATATAAATTTTTTTTTTCTGGACTGCAACAGAAGTTTCAGATGTAATGGATTCAGTGCAGTTGCACAGGGTCTTAAATTATAAAGGGGGCAATGCAGGCCCATTGCCTCTAGCTCACTTTAAAGATCTGCCTAACATTTAGTCATGTGGCCTTTTTGTCTTGATTTAGATAATGTCCTTGTCTTAAGATCCCTCTAAGAATTTGTAAATGATTGCACCTTAAAACCTTATTAAAGTAGGGATCACTAGAGACCAATGATTATGCTTATTGAAATTGATGAATGCTTGTAGGTTTTGAATGTTTATCAGGATTTTAATAAAGTCTAATAGTACAAGTTTGTGTGAAGATAAAATATCTGAAGTTTACTGTAAAGGATGAGTGGTCATGTTTGATGTTTTAAATTGTTTACACTCTTGGTCTTTAAAATACCACTTTTGTTGTTCAAATTTTAGGGACCGTATTGTCACTGTGAACTAAATTTGTGACACATCATTGAAAAGTGTGGTAATTTATTAAAAGAGAATGTGTAATCCTCAAGCATTTAATTCTTTCACAGAAAAATATGTAAGGGGTGGATGTGTATAGATGTCTATTTTTTCTGCATAGATTGAACATTTTCTTCTGATTTTTTTTTTATATATAAAAAATATTTGGAACCTATTTATAAATAAAATTCCCATGGCGTTACAATGTTCAATTTGTGAAACTTATGATTTTGAGATTTTCTTATGGCAACCTAGGCATGAAATATCACAACATTGCTATACATTATAACTATTCATCCATAGGGTGTGACAACATGCCCCCGAAAGTGCTGTCTGGGTCTCTAAAATAGAGAAATATTACTGAAAAAAAGTTCAAGTTTTTAGGTTTTAAAAGGCTGCAGACGTGCATACACAGCCCTTAATGACGTCACGTGCACGGTCTGTCAAGGAACTTGAAATATGTTGCATTTTGTGTTTGTCCAGAAGCACAAAAAAGATTGTTACTAATACATAGGTATTCTCTATTTTAACTCTTGCCATTTTCAATTCAATGTCCATTAAAGGCGAATAAGTGAGAGAGAGAAAATCAGACTGGAAGCATCTGGAAACGGTGTTCTCTGCAGTGTTGGGGGTAACGCATTATAAGTAACGCGAGTTACGTAATCAGATTACTTTTTTCAAGTAACTAGTAAAGTAACGCATTACTTTTTAATTTACAAGAGAATATCTGAGTTACTTTTTCAAATAAGTAACGCAAATTACTTTTTTTTGTTGAGAGAAATCAGATGTTAATGTAGTTCTAAAATAAATATGAATATGCATTAATTAATCTCTCTCTCAAAAAAAAAACAGATTCAGTATTCCTCAAAATGAATAAAAATAATGCAACTCAGAATATGACGTAAACCTGCAATAATTAAATGTTAAACAACACAAATATCCTTTATGTATTTAATCCCATTCTATTAACCAATGTCTTTGCTTCTGACCTTCGATGATCCAGTTCAACCGTACTAATAAGCACAAATGACTCTAGACAAACATCTGTGTCTTTTTTATTGCTGAAGTGTGTTGAAATTTCTTCTTCTGCATTCTACTGCACGGACGTAAATTTACATTTCCTTCAGACTGAGGCTTATTCATTTCACTTTTGGTGTGCAAAGGCTTTTATATTTGCCAAAAATATAACTTTTTTATATTAAAAACAAACAAACAAGCCCTGTCCAGATTTAAAAAGTAACGCAACGCATTACTTTCCATAAAAAGTAATTAGTTACTTTTTTATGGAGTAACGCAATATTGTAACGCATTACTTTTAAAAGTAACTTTCCCCAACACTGGTTCTCTGTAACAAACCATGGCCATTAAGTAAAGTTTATAATCGGAGGAAATGAAAGGGTTAGTTTGCACTGACGTCAGGAAGACATTCGCCAGTCACGTCCACAGGGCGGTCAAACGCGCGTGCTGTGCGCTGTTGCTGTTTATGTTACGCGACTTCCTGGTGCTCTCTGTTGTGAACCTCGTAGATTTGGGCCGCTTTGTGTAGTTTTTCTTGGGCAACTGTAAGTAATTTATATGGAGTAAATGACTAAGTAAGCTCTGGTAGAGCAGCTGGGTAAAAAGACTCAAATATTCCACTACCGAAAATGAGACTCTGATTCTAGCAAAGCCAGACGCTGACGCTCACACTGAAAGTACTCCCTGCTGCCCGAAAGGAACTATTTCTGCAGTATGAATGTTTTGTACTGTAAGTATGAAACATCGCATGCCGCATGTTACGTCTGACATTTCACTATCAGTTTATTTACATATTATCGTGATTACTTTTATTATATGCCGTGTTCTCAATGGTCGTCAATCAGAACCTCATTGCTTTTATCTATCTATCTATCTATCTATCTATCTATCTATCTATCTATCTGGAGCCAGTGTTTATTTATTTATACATAGTACATACATACATATATATATATATATATATATATACCCAAGGTCATGGGTTCAATTCCTAGTGAATGCATGAACCGATAAAATGCAGGACTACATTGTATGCAATGTATGTTGCTTTGGATAAAAGCGTCTGACACGGAAATAAAATAAGTTTAATGTTTTTAATATTTTATTTTATTTTCTATAATTTTTAGTCATGAAAATGCCTTTTTATGCTTTTTTTGGTTGTATATAACTAATGCACAGGCCTGGATGCATTAATAATCTACTTTTAAACTGATTCTCACACCATTTAACATAATGTGACTCAAGTATGTGCAAACTATAAACCATAGACACCACATATACAAGAAATTGTTCCAGATGGTGCATCCTCAGGGACATTGTCCCTTTACATACGGGATATTCTAGGATATGCCAGATGAATGACCAATACAATATACAATGTATATTTTTGTCTACCCATTAGTCAGCCACATAAATCTAATAAACGTGCAATCTGGTTTCCTCACAGGAATGCAATATCTTCCCTCACCTCCATTTTATCGGCTGATATCCATCATGACGAAGAGATCCCGTCACACACTAGATCAGGATGATCCTCTGTGCTGTTGCGAGTACATTGATCGTCATGGCGGACGCAGTCACTTGGCAGCATGTTGCTGTGACTGTGAGGATTTGGATGAGGCTTGTGACAGGTAAGCACTTTGGATTCATAGATTACTGCTTAAATGATTAAATGATGAGTATGATTGAATTTGTTATTTTCCAGATGGATGAAGAAGCAGCCTCAAAATTCAGACTCTCTGTCTCGGGCTATGGCCACGTTCAATGATCGTCTCCGAGTGCCCTGGATATCTGGAGCCAGACAAGTTGATATATCAGTGATCCCTCCTCTTATTCTGCTTCCTGTTTTTTTGCACATTGCAGCTTTGCACTACCTGCTGGGTATTTTAGTGCTAACTGCAGTGCCCGTCTTGGTCCTTTGGTACTACTATTTCACTCACCGAAAGAAAGGACACACGTTATTCTTCCTCAGCCTCGCACTCTTCTCCCTCTTCTACATGTTCTACCTCTTCATCACCGAAGTCGTTCCTCGTGGTGGTGTGAATCACCTTCAGTTTACCGTTGTGACAGTGGGTGTTGCTCTTACGGTAATTTTCCTTATAATCACTAAGAGGGGGCCGGGCTACGTCAGGCCTCATCCAACTGACACTCATAGTACAGTGACCTATCACAAACCTCCGTCTGACGTAGATGCCGCCTATCTAAATGGAGCACAGCACCAGGTGGTGATAGCCAATCATGAACAAACTTGTGAATCTGGGACAGCACAGCAGAGTGTTCAGAGGAGGAACTGGTGCGCAGTATGCAAAGTGGTGCGGCCCCCGAGAGCGGGACACTGCAGGATCTGTGGGGTCTGCATCCTGCGTCTGGACCACCACTGTGTCTGGTGGGTGGGTTTATTTAAAAAGCACTGCTTATTCAAGAGGGTCTCAGTCATTATTATGTTTGGATCATATTTCACTCAAAACATTTTTGGATTGTGAAATATTTTTATGGAAATTGTACACACCAGTATATTATGTAAACAAACTTTTATTTTTGATATGTATGTATATATATATATATTACACACACTGCATAAATACATAAAAATGATATAATATACATAATATATGTGTGTGTATATATATATATATATATTAAATATTAATTTTCATGTTTTTGTAAAATGTGTTATTTTATATATAGCTACAGTACTGAAAATCCAATGATGAAAGATTCATCAAGATGTAAATAATAAAACGTAATGAGATTTTGGGAGAATATTTGAATTGATTAAAAAAATGCAAAAAACATGTTGCTAGAATAGGGCTAATTTTCATGCAGTATTTTTCATGCCCATCAAATATACTTAATTTTTATGTAAATGCGCACATTAGCATTACCAGCATTTTGCTTTAGTTATTGACCCATCTTTAGCATCTAATATTAGATATTGTATGCTGCATGGTGAAGTCTTATCTGCATACTCTTATAATTTTACTTTCCCAGAAACAAAACACAGAATGTAATCCTTAATGAAATCAAAGAGTGCACAGTTACCAGAATTCCTGTATCAGTTGGGTTAGCTCATGTGCTATGCACTGAATATGCCCATTGTTATGTTGGAAATCTCAGAACATTCTAGTTGTCCATTTATTATGTTATGGATTAATATGCAGTAATCAAACTTTTTGTTCAGCGCAGCTGTAAAATGTCTTGCTCTTCATGTAAACATATGTGTACTGGAGCCAGTGAGGTGATCTCACCCTCTGCATTCTTCTTACTCTGTGTAAGTGATATGTGAAAATGATCTCCAGGTCTCAGTTCAGTGTCTTGTTTGTCATTTTGGTTTGCGTTAGGATCAACAGCTGTGTGGGGCAGGACAATCACCGCAATTTCCTTCTGACACTTGTTTTCTTTCTGCTGACATCGCTGTACGGGATCAGTTTGGTTCTTCGAAGCGTGTGTTCCGACCAGAATGTAATGACTGCACTGTTCTACTGTCCTGACGTCTACAACCAGTTCAGGTTTGGATCCAAATATACAAACTCACAGAAATGCTTTCTGTTCTATTTAATTCAATTGGTTCTGACCCTCTTTTCAGACCTTTCTTAACACCTCTGTTCCTTCCAGTTCATTAGTTATTCATGAAAAAGTAACTTTGCTGCTTCAAATGCACCATATCAGTATTCAGCAGAATTGTTGAGGGTTTGAGAACAAACTGAACAAAAATTAAGTCTTTCCCAATCATCATCTGCCATTCTTCATACAAACACAAAGTCCTGCCCAAAATTTATGCCGCTGGTTAAAGGAATAGTTCACATATAAACCAAAATTTGCCGAAAATGTACTCACCCTCAGGCTGTCCAAGATGTAGATGAGTTTGTTTCTTCATTGGAACAGATTTGGAGAAATTTAGCATTACATTACTTGTTCACACAGATCCTCTGCAGTGAATGGGTGCCGTCAGAAAGAGTCCAAACAGCTGATAAAAACATCACAATACTCCACGAATAATCAGCATGCCTCCAGTCCATCAATTAACATCTTGTAAAGCGAAAAGCTGAATGGTTGTACTAAACATATTTTTGGGTGTACTGTTCCTTTAAGACAGAAGTTGTGGGCTGCAGTGCACTATTTTAGTATTATTTATATATGATTATTTATTCATATTTTGAATTATCTTTTAATTTCTCACACACACACACACACAAACTTACTTTATACCAACTACTTTTCAATACAACTACGCATACAGCCCACACATCTGGCTTTGCAAGGTGGACAGACAGGCCTAGAAAACCCTCTTGCTCTGCCTGTAGACATCATTTAGATAAGGCTCAGCTCCATCAGTGCTCATTACACTAAAGTAAACCTAGATATTTCCTGTCCTTGGAGACCTACACAACTGCTAGCCAGTCATTATCTCGTTTGCCGTTTCTACCTGAGTTTGTTAAATATTTTTTTCCTTGTTCAAAGATAAAGCTTGTATATACTGTGTGTGTGTGTGTGTGTGTATATATATACAGTGGGTACGGAAAGTATTCAGACCCCCTTAAATTTTTCACTCTGTTATATTGCAGCCGTTTGCTAAAATCATTTAAGTAAATTTTTTTTCCTCATTAATGTACACACAGCACCCCATATTGACAGAAAAACACAGAATTGTTGACATTTTTGCAGATTTATTAAAAAAGAAAAACTGAAATATCACATGGTCCTAAGTATTCAGACCCTTTGCTGTGACACTCATATATTTAACTCAGGTGCTGTCCATTTCTTCTGATCATCCTTGAGATGGTTCTACACCTTTATATATGTTTTCTATTCTATTTAATTTCAGTTTAAGTAATTTTAGTATTGCAACTTTAAAGTTAAGATGAAAGTTTTGATCCTCAAGTTCACACAGCTTCAGTATGACTGTTCATAACAGCATTTTTAGTATTTTGAGTATTAATAATATAACATATAATAATAATAAAATTAACCTATTTGTCTCCGTCTTTCTGTTCATCAGTTCTGCTCTGTGTTTCACCTGTGCCTGGTACAGCTGTGTTGTGACAGGAGGTTTACTGCACCTGCTGCTCTTGCAGCTTATCAACGTCAGCTTCAACGTGACCGAACGGGAGGCGCGTCTGGCTTTGAGAGAGAAAACCGGTCGCAGCCTTATCTGGGGTCTGATCATCGACACAGGCGTTTACTCAAGAGGCTTCCATAGTAACTGGATTGGATTCTTGACCATGAGCAAGGCTTCAGAGCCATCAAATCATAAACCATCAAATCTGGTGTAGAAATTCAGCTCTCAGTCTCCGCTGATGGAAAACAATCGAACTGGTCTTTCAAGTGAATTATCACCCATATACAGTTGCATCTCAATAAATTAGAATGTCGTGGAAAAGTTCATTTATTTCAGTAATTCAACTCAAATTGTGAAACTCGTGTATTAAATAAATTCAATGCACACAGACTGAAGTAGTTTAAGTCTTTGGTTCTTTTAATTGTGATGATTTTGGCACACATTTAACAAAAACCCACCAATTCACTATCTCAACTAATTAGAATATAGTGACATGTCAATCAGCTAATCAACTCAAAACACCTGCAAAGGTTTCCTGAGCCTTCAAATGGTCTCTCAGTTTGGTTCACTAGGCTACACAATCATGAGGAAGACTGCTGATCTGACAGTTGTCCAGAAGACAATCATTGACACCCTTCACAAGGAGGGTAAGCCACAAACATTCATTGCCAAAGAAGCTGGCTGTTCACAGAGTGCTGTATCCAAGCATGTTAACAGAAAGTTGAGTGGAAGGAAAAAGTGTGGAAGAAAAAGATGCACAACCAACCGAGAAAACCGCAGCCTTATGAGGATTGTCAAGCAAAATCGATTCAAGAATTTGAGTGAACTTCACAAGGAATGGACTGAGGCTGGGGTCAAGGCATCAAGAGCCACCACACACAGACATGTCAAGGAATTTGGCTACAGTTGTCGTATTCCTCTTGTTAAGCCACTCCTGAACCACAGACAACCTCAGAGGCGTCTTACCTGGGCTAAGGAGAAGAAGACCTGGACTGTTGCCCAGTGGTCCAAAGTCCTCTTTTCAGATGAGAGCAAGTTTTGTATTTCATTTGGAAACCAAGGCCCTGGAGTCTGGAGGAAGGGTGGAGAAGCTCATAGACCAAGTTGCTTGAAGTCCAGTGTTAAGTTTCCACAGTCTGTGATGATTAAGAAGGCCAACAATTCACTAAAAATGTTTTTTTAATTGGTCTTATGAAGTATTCTAATTTGTTGAGAGAGTGAATTGGTGGGTTTTTGTTAAATGTGAGCCAAAATCATCACAATTAAAAGAACAAAAGACTTTAACTACTTCAGTCTGTGTGCATTGAATTTATTTAATACACGAGTTTCACAATTTGAGTTGAATTACTGAAATAAATGAACTTTTCCACGACATTCTAATTTATTGAGATGCACCAGTATAACACAGTGAAGTATAATGTTGTGCTACTTGATGCCTTCAACATCCATTCCAGAGTCAGTTTTATGGCTCTAGACATTGTGCTCAAGGTCTCATCAACAGTCAGTTGAATTGTGTGGATCACTAGATGGCAGTGTTGTAGTATGTTACATCTCTACCAGTGTATTTCAACATCAAGTACACCATTACTCAGGTGTGGTTAGTGTTTACCAGCTTGGCATTACAAATATTATGTAAAGTTCTCACGAAATATATACTTTTTATGATTAATATTAAGAATTCATAAGAATGAATAAGTATCATAAATAATATATTCATTTTCTTCCATGATTTGTCATGTTATTTAATTTTTCTAAAATAAATGTTTTTAGTAATTTCAATCATAGGGAACCATGTGTAACTTGCACTTACAATTAGAGGAAAACAAACTAACAAATATCACACATTTTTGGTTTACATTCACTGCTAGATGGCTCTTTTATAGATTTTGCTGGCTAATATTTGTTCCCTCAACTCCAAAGTGTGTCTTATGTGAACAAACATTGAGTATCAAGCCTTATTTAGTGCCTTTTTGGAACATCAGAAGTGATGCAACACTGCATCTATATCCAGACAGCACACAGCTTTAAAACTGTCATCTCAGTATGAATGTTTTATGTGGAGCTTCATGTTTGTTATTTGAGGTCTTTGTGCCTGTGTGTGTATTTTCTTTTCATGTGCTTCAACTGGGGACAAATCTGTGGCATGTACCATCCAGCAATTTTTTGATGTGCAGGAATTGTTGCAGCATTTTTTAATCAAAGTTGGCTTCCTTTCATTAAATGCCTTCTAAAGAAACCGCTAAAGAAGCACTTCAGAATCCGGATGTTTCTTTGTCCCATGTGAGACGGTTTTATAATGTAATGCATTCCATTCTACAAGTTGTTCGATTAAACTGTACCATGGAGAAATAAACAAGCGTAAAATGATTAAACATGGTGGCTCATCAAGCTGCAGATGTTTTCAGTGTCATTTGATGATGTCATGTAAAGCCTGTGTGTGCAGTTAAAGAGGATTTACGGAGTGCCACGGGGAGTCAATAGGGGAGGAGCGGAAGTCGGGCAAAATCTCTGCCACTTTACGTCTGAGCTGCTCTCTGCGTGCCTCTCTTTCTTTCTCTTCTCGCAAGACAACAGGAAGACGCCTCCAGCCAGCAAAACACTTCTTGACAGCTCTCCTACAAAGCCCAGAGGGCCAATGTCAGAGCAAACATACATTCATTTTTCTAAATACTGAAAATACTAAATAACCCATACATTTCTTTTTCTACTATCTTTAGAAAAGACATTTTGGCCTTATGGTGCATTAAAAGTGTCACATTGAAAGACGTGTTTGACATAAAAAATAATAATTTTTTATGGATTATATATATATATATATATATATAAATAATTTTATATATATTATATATATATTATATATATACTGTATATTTATTCAAAAATCAACAAGAACTTTTGTTGGCTAAACCAAATATCACTACAGAAATTATGTTGTGTCAAAATCTGAAACTTTTCTAATCATTCACAGTTTCCTACCAGTCTGTGTGTGTGTGTGTGTGTGTGTGGCATTTTACCCTTTTCCAGCTACACACAACCCTCTGAAGTAAGATCCGGTGATACAGCTGGTTGGCACTGGCCTCTCTCTCTGCATGGGCCTCATCCACAGACTGAAGCCAGGAGCAGAAGCAGCGTCTCTGCAGAGCCAGTGTGTAATGATCCACCGCTTTCTGGAGGAGACCGAAAATGCGAAAACACCCGAACATAAATAACTGTCTACTTTAATTAAGTCTGTCATCATCTAATACACTCCCATGTTTTTTATGGATTGAAAATTTTCCCTGCTGACTTCCTTTTTGTACTGTACAAATATTATAGACATACATGCTAGTTTTGCAACTAATTGGACCTTGAGGTTTCTGCTTTCATGGATGTGGATCAATATTTAAACAACAATGCAAATTCTGAATTCAAAGCCATTCTGTTTCTGTCTTTGTGTCTCTGTCCTTGTCAATCTCTCCCTCTCAGTCACTCCATCTCCCTCCTGAATCTCAGATATCCGCTCTCTGTTAATTTATTTCGAAAACAGGTGGTTAGCCAGGTGGAAACGCAACAGTATACTGTCAACATCATAACAATTTGGGGAATGGACCAAGAGTTAATGCAAGGCAACAGCTGGCCTTCCTGTCTGTGTGCGAGCTGCCCATAACTCTTTGGATGAATAATTGAGTGTGTGAGTGTTTGTCTGGAAAGCAGGTGAATGGCCTGCATTGTTACTGTAGGCCATGAGTGAGTGTGTGTGTGTGTGTGTGTGTGTGTGTGTGTGTTTGCAGTAGTGCTGACCTGTGTGTTGACATGGCTTTGCTCCAGCAGGTGTTTCCATGGTGCCAGGCCTCGGTGCAGTAAAAGGGTTCTGAGGTAGTGCTGGGCCGCCCGCTTTGACAGTTCCTGTTCCCGTTCTGCTCTCTTCTGCTTCTCAAGTTCTCTCTAAGTTCACATTAACCCACAAACACACACACACACACACACATAGTTACTTAAAACTTGTGTGCAAGTTGGCTGTGTGCATAAACATGATGAATACATTAATTTAATGTATTATAAACATTTTGTTTTTGTATTTTCTAGATTGTTGTTATTCTGAATGGTTTTTAGCATGCTGCTAATCAGTTTCTAGAGCATTCTGGGTGGTTTCATACTGGCATTCTGCACAGTAAAAAGTGGTAACCTACAGTCTACATACAACTCATTTATATCTTATTAAAGTTCATATCTCACAACTCTATTTTGTGTTTCTGCCATTTATTAAAAAAGGTAATTGTGACTTTTTGTCTCACAATTCTGACTTTTTTCCCCTGCAAGTTTATCTCTCACATTTCAGACTTTTCTTCTCAGAATTACAAATTCATATCCCACAAAAATTGTGAGATATGAACTCAGAATTGCAAGAATAAAGTCAGAATTTTTAGGTAAAAAGTCGCAATTACCTTTTTTATTTTTCTATTCTGTGGTGAAAATGGTTTCCATAATTTCTGCCTGATTTAACTCATTAAAAATGTGTCTTGTTAGTATAAATTAATGTATTTAGATTGATTCAGTGATGTTAAATAATATTTTAAAATTGAATAAAACCATTTTATCAATTTTACCAATTACCATTTTCAATTTACCATTTTTTCCCTAGATAGGTTTGGGATTATTTTCACCCATTTCATCATCCGAAAAACCTGAAAATCATTCAAACGGGCTAAAAATCATAATTACAATTACTTAAAAAGTAAACAGACCCCTCTCCTCAATAAGCCGCATGATTTGAGGCATCACTCATGTCTGTAGCATAAACAATTAATAAAACATTAAAAGTAACATGATCCAATGATGTAAAACCCATGATAATGTGTTTGACCACACACCTTTCTCTGCTGCCTCTTCTCTTCCTTCTTCCTCTCTACCTCCCCTTGTTTCTCCTCTTCCTCAGCTCTGAGTCTTTCCTCCTCAGCTGACTTCATTTGAGCCTACAGAACAAAAAAAGGAGAGGCTTGTTTCATCATAGTCACGTTTCTATGCTTGAAGAGAGGCAAGTCTTACCAGTTTCTCCTCCTGTTTCTGTCTCCTCCGCTCCTCTATCTCTCTCCGGCGCTCGGCACGCTGCTGTGCTCTTTCCTCCATGGCTGAAAGAAACATAAAAAAGGAAAGTGAGAGACAGAGTTCGTGGGTGACCGAGACATCAGTAAAGGGCCAGATTAAAGGGTCACTGTGAAGTTCTGCAGCATGTTCTTCTGATCTTATGGTTCTTTGGTACAAGTTTGATGTGTTGCTTGCATTTGTATTCAAGGCGGCGTCTCGTATCACACCAACTGAGTGATTTTTTTCAAAATCTCATTGTCATTTGTAGTGTTTCACTGATTAAGTCATGTATTGCAACCAGGATCAGGAATTCACCATGGCTCGAGACAAAATGCTACCAAAAGTGACAAACATTTTCTAGATATTTAAAATATGGGGGAAAATTGCCCCTGTATGTAGCACATTCCTGTTTTTTGAATACATAATATTTCATTCTATTATGAATAGTTAACTAGTTATCAGTTTACTTATATATAATTACTTATTTAATATAGTGTAATAGTGGGGAAAAAAATGAAACGTTCTGAAAAGCTCACCAATGTAAAGTTCAAGTATGAGAAAATGACAAAATAATAAAAAAAGACATTCAATAAGAATAGACTTTTCTTACTACTTTTTAAAATGTATTAATTATTGCATTAACGTATTGTTAATTTAAATATAGCTCATATACAGTGTTTTATGGGAAAATAATTATAGTTTTGAAAATACACTCACCAATGCAAAGCAAAATTAAAGAAAAATATATATATATTCAAGAAAAATCTACTTTTCTTATTAATTTGTAATAATTTATTAATTATCTTATTATTAATTAAAAAAATAATAATTGTTATCACTAATTTAAATGAATGAGGTGGAAAAACACAATCACCATTTACAACGGGCTGTGTTTATGCTACATGACCTTGCGTTTAATGTAAAAACATTTGGATCAGATCTGAGCAGGACAATAGCTTGTCAGTTTATCATTGTGAAAAAAATCTCATAGGTCACTGCCAAGGCCAGGACAGTCCACCTCAGAAATTGAATGATAATATCAAAAATAGTGGATGTCATTGATGAGTCGGCAGGGCCTTTAACTCAGCAGGATGTTGACTCATAGGGGCTGTTAACAACCACCCGCTGACAGACGCTACCTTGTGCACAAACTCCCTCAGATACTCAAAAAACCCTGATAATTGAAAAAAATATGACTATGTAATCAATAACAATGAAGCTCAAGTTTTAACACATGGAAGAGCCATAGTGCGGTTTTGGTATTGTTCTTGGTTTACTTTACATAGAGTTGCACAAGTGGATTATGAGTGTATAGAGATTGTGTGCATCTGTATCAATGCATTCAGTATCAGAGAGGATTTAAAACTAGGGCATAGCCATGAAATTAATTTTCCATGCTTGGAACAACCGTAGTGACAGTTTCCCAACTGCTCGAATGCGTATGTGTATGACTGACCTTGTACTGTAGGCTGGGGAAGAGCTGCACGATGCAGAGATGCTTTTTGGATGGTGTGGCTGCTGGTGTTTTCCCCCGAGGCACTCTTTGTTCTGGGATTGAAAGGAGAATGAATATCTTTGTGAAATTGTGACTAATAACAAACATTGTGTCTCCCACGCGCGCACACGGATAGAACAGCTGTGGGAAGTGACCCTTTGGTAAAATCTAGAGGGATTACACTGAGTACATGAAACAAGCAAGTATTAAATTCTGATCCACTCTGGTGCCTGAGGTGACAGATTCATTTGATTTGAATAAACTGTAAAGATTTGTCTCACAAAAAATGTCACGTATCGTCAGGGTCATATTTCACCCCATATTCGAAAGTAAAAAAGATATTATATTTTAAATAAAGAAAATATACCTATTTTAAAGCCATTCATATTTTTTTGCATTGTGGCATTATTTTAATAAATACTTAAATAGCTGCCTACTGTAATGCACAAAAAATATCATTCTCATCAAAGTAATCAATAAAAATACACACGACACTATACAATAAAAATAATAATATTAAATTCTGCATATAACACTATTATTCTGGGGTTGGTAAGATTTATTCAAGTCTATAATGTTCACCAGTGCATTTATTTGTTCAAAAATAAAGTGAAAACAGTAATATTGTGAAATATTATTACAAGTGAAAATAACTGTTTTCTACTTCTACTTCACATGATCCTTCAGAAACAATTCTAATATGCCGATTTGGTAAGGTAACATTTATTATTATTATCAATGTTAAAAACTGTTGTGGTGCTTGGTATTTTTGTGTAAAACGTGATACATTTTTCAGGATTCTTTGATGGACAGAAATGTCAAAACAACAGCATTTATTAATCTATTTATTAAACAGATTTTTATTACATGTTTTGTAACATTTTAAATGTCTTTACTGTCACTTCTGATCAATTTAACGCATCCTTGCTGAATAAGTGTTAATTTCTTACTGTAATATTAACATATTGTCTCTTTATATATAAATATATTTATATTTAAATTGTAACATTTTTAAATTATAAGTAAGTGTATATCATCGTAGTATTTATTTTACTGAATTTAATTTATGCTGATTTTAATCAATTCTTTTTTATCTTAATTTATTTTTTAATTTAATTATATAAAATATTTAAAAACATGTTGTCTAGACAGAATTATTTTCATTGCTGTATTACACTAAAGAGAAAGATTTTTTGCATTTCATTAATACAAATTAGTATTATGGGGGTCTGATTTCCTATAAGCAAAATAAAAATAAAATTATTTTGATTTTGGGGTGAAATAGTAAAGATGCCAAGTGAAGTTAGTTGTGAGAAAAGGTTTAGCATCATTTCTTTGCAGATACCTCTTTTACTTTGACATTCATACATTTTTAATTGTGACTAGAGTGCCCAAATACTCTTGTGGTTGTTATACATGTTTCGTGCAAGCTGCTCCACACTCCTCTTCTCCTCCATCTCTCTGCGTAGGCGAATCATCTCCTGGTGGATCAGTTCTTCCTGTCTGTGTGCCTCCTGCCTCTTCTTTCGCTGCTTCTCCTTTTCCAGTTGCCACGCCTCCTCTCGCACCTCCCTTAGCACTTCCTTCTCTTTATGCAGTTTCTCATGCTCTGCATCTCTGCGCATGCGGTTCTCCTTTACCTGCTTGTGACGCACCTCCATGGTAATGCTAGGGTCCCTCCATTTCTTCTTATTCTGATCAGAGTCTACTTTAAGGTCCTCCACTATCCCAAAGTCCAACACCTCGGTTTCCATCAGGTCCTGGAGGAAATTGTGCACTACAGAGTTCTCCTCCTCCTGTGCTAGGTGAAAGTACATGTCTAATGAAAAAAGAGAAAGTCCAGATGAGATCAGTGTTGTTAATGCTAACTAAAACACTAAAAGCTAATAAATTATTATTAACTATTACAAGTTGTTTTTGGTAATTGAAATAAAGCTTAAATAAAATAAAATATAAATATTAGAAAAATTAATAAAAAAAAACATACATGAACATGTTTCCTTGGCAACTAACTGAAACAGTATTATTTTATTTTATAGTATTTTCATTTTATTAAAATTTTTTATTAATATTTTTTTGTATATATTTCTGTTTTCATTTAAATTTGGTCATTTTTAGTAGTTTTATGTATACATTTGTTTTATAAATTTTTATTTCAGTTTGAGTTATTTTAGTACCAAGTTAAACTAAATTAAAATGAGAACTGTTGCCTTGGCAACTAGCTAAAAAAGTTTTTTTTAATTAATCGTTTATTTTATTTCAAGTAACAAAATATTTCAATGGTTTTAATTTTAGTTTAGATTTAGTGTTAGTTAACTATAATAACCCTGAACCATGAACTCAGTTGAATTACAAAAATGACTAAAACTGAAATTAAAATAAAGTTATATAGAAATATTTTTTAAAAATGACTAAAGCACATAAAATTACTAAAACTTGAAAACTGAAAATCTAAAAATAAAAGCTCATTCAAAATATTAATAAATACTATAATAGTATCTAAACAACCCTAAAATAACACTTGTTTATATTTTATGGGAATTCTTAAGGTAAACTTCAAAAAACAAAGAAGGTACTTCCTTCATTTCATTTGTACCATCAAAGTTATTATAGCTGGATTGTGTGGTTTTAACAAGTTGTTTGGATTCTTCCTTCTCCTCTTCCTCCTCGTCATCATCCATTTCAAGCTCCAGACGTAATTTCTGGTTCATCCATTCACTTAGAATTGACTGAGCTGTAGAATACAGGTGGAACTGTGGAATACTGATAAAAACCTGCACAGGCATTAAGTGCTGAATATTAATTAGTTAAAGATTACCTTCACTGTACGCATCATTGTGATCCTGTAGCTGCTCTACGTTCTGCAGAGCCATACTTTTTTTTCTACCACATGGTTTCTTAATGGAAAACACCTCAGCTACAGCAAACTCTGAAGCCTTCTCCACCCTCTGAGAATAATTATGAAAAGAAAATTATATGTAATACATGATCTCAGACACTGCATCCCTTATAAACCAAAAACAAAGTACACTTTAGCATACTTTAGAAAAAGAGTACTTATTACAAAAATAATATACTTTAAAATAATCTACCCAAATGTAATGTTTTTGGACACTTTCGGGAAGGTTAATTGAAATGAATAATTAATAATAAAATATCATGGAATGCACTTTTAAAAAGTGTACTTAGGCGTGTTAAGAAACAGTTAAGAAAGTGTACTATATTTAAGTACACTATAAGTGGACATTCAATACAATTAAGCACACTTCTTTGTCACGAGCGTTGACATACATTTGCATTAATTTTCTGCATGACATGAATTCAAATGATTGAAATGTACTTACCTTCACCCACTGCTTTATGTCATTCTCATTCAGCTGCACCTGCAATATGAGATATGAATTCAGCTCTGCTCATTGTTTCCACCCAAAATAGACTTAGACCTCAAAATGTATTACCGGCTTCTCTACAGTCATAAGCTGATCACTGGGTTAAACCAAGAGCTTTCCAACCTTGTTCATGCCTGAAGTTCACATAAACTGATGTGAATTAGTCACACTGGCCTCACACATCTAATCCCTGGATAAATATCCCGTGTTACATACACCCAGTGTTGGGGGTAACGCATTACAAGTAATGCGAGTTATGTAATCAGATTACTTTTTTCAAGTAACTAGTAAAGTAACGCGTTACTTTTTAATTTACAAGAGAATATCTGAGTTACTTTTTCAAATAAGTAACTCAAGTTACTTTATTTTTTGCAAAAAAAACTGATTCAGTATTCCTCAAAATGAATACAAATAATGCAACTCAGAATATGACGCAAACCTGCAATAATTAAATGTTAAACAACACATGTCCTTTATGTATTTAATCCCATTCTATTAACCAATGTCTTTGTTTCTGACCTTCGATGATCCAGTTCAACCATACTAATAAGCAAAAAATTACTCTAGACAAACATCTGTGTGTCTTTTTTATTGCTAAAGTGTGTTGAACTTTCTTCTTCTGCATTCTACTATACGGACATAAATGTAATTTCCCTTCAGACTGAGGCTTATTCATTTCACTTTTGGTGTGAAAAGGCTTTTATATTTGCCAAAAATATAACTTTTTATTTTAAAAACAAACAAGCAAGCCCTGTCCAGATTTAAAAGTAACGCAAAAGTAACGTAACGCATTACTTTCCATAAAAAGTAACCAAGTACCGTAATTCGTTACTTTTTATGGAGTAACGCGGTATTGTAATGCATTACTTTTAAAAGTAACTTCCCCAACACTGCATACACCTGAAGGGGTTTTCATTGCGCATTTGAGCTAAATACTTCTGCTGAGCCACAAATCTATTCATTACTAATAACCAATGTGAATGACCAAAGATAACCTGAGTGTGACATATATTTAGATGAATACCTCTGGCTGAATATTGTAAAAAAGGAAACGAAGGAAAACACGAAGCTACATCTTTGAAGAACTGAGTGAGAAAAGAGGAAGCAGGGTTTACTCGCCTTAATACTGCCTGGTGTTTTTGTCTTTGTCGTTTTCCAACGAAAAATATCCGGTCTGTGAATGGGATTTGCCATGGTCGCTTGTACATGGGCATGCATTTGGATTGTAAGCTAATATAATATGTTTTCACATGTTTTCAAAGTGTATGTAGCAGCAATTTACAGTATATGTTATACAAATTTAGCTTCGTCGAAACATTCATGTACTTAAGTGAGAAACTTTTCGCCCAGCAATGGAATTGTGGGATTTGTAGTTTACGCAAAGTGATGTAGCATGAGTTGACGCCTAAGAAAAACTACATATCCCAACAAGAACCGACGAGGACTGAAGCGTCTACTTTGAAACCATGGAGACAGTACGCCGGCTCTTGTGTGGCCATAGTTGATCTCAAAGGTGAACTACTAAGCTACTAAATGCATTTATTTCAGACGCTGACCCTACAATTGTGTTTTTTAGTATTTCACAATTGTAAATGTAACAACCGGTATTGCAATATTTGTTGTTTAGCCTATTGTGTGAAAATCAAGGTGTGCAAATTAAGTAAAATTCCCAGTTCCCAAGCTAAATGTGGAATTAATTACGTTAACCTATAGTAAACCGTTTTTGTCTGTTTAGTTTTTAACTTTAAAATATAGAAGTTAGAATGATTTCATGTTCTATAACCAGTGCAACATATATCAAAATTATTACTTTTCTGGGAAGATAAAACAAAAACCTTTTCAGAAGTAATACAGTTTTGCATTTTATTTGCTTTGCCACAACATATTTCAAAACCACATAACTGTGACCATTACATTTTACAACAACTCTTTTGTAACATATCAAAATTCTATATTTTCAGGTAGGCTATATGGTTTAACCAGAATGTTTTTTCTTTTTTTTTTTACAAGTCGAAAATGAGCAAACTGAATAAAAATAAATAACTACCTCACACTGGAGGTCAACATGTTAAACATGCACGTAGTGCAATAACATTGCAAAAATGTGTATATTGTGCAATAAAACAGTAAACGAGCAAACAATACAATGCTCAGTGAAAAAAACCCTTGATCAAATCATTGTTATCATCTTTATCACTTTAATTTCTTCTATGCACAACATAAGTTAATTATTGAATGCAAAACAATGAAACCGTTAGTTCTTAGCATTTATTGCTATACAACAACATATGTGATTTTTTTCTCTTCAATGTTTTTCTCTTCAGAGTTAGTTCTTGTATGCAATGCAGACCTCTTGGTTCAACAAGCACCTGTCATGTGTTATCTCTTCACTCAGAAGCACAACGGACTAAGTTACTGCAATGCAATATACATGTTATGTCTACAATGCATAACGGATGAGTTAGTTCATTCGTTCATTATTTTTTATGTTTACATTTGTTAAAATATGCTTTGTAATTAGCAGCAGAAAATATATAACACTAAAATAACTGAATCAGCTAAATTAATTGAGCAGCTCATGCTCATTACCATTTTTCTGAATGTGACAAAGTCATCAATACTGTTTTAAGGTTAACAGCCCGATATATCATATATGTCACCACAATATTTTCGTAACTTGTTTTATATCAATTTGTTCAAGAAATATATTAAAAAGACAGATGGTAAAATAATAATAACAACTACAACATTAATAGGGGTTCTCAGTAAGTTTAAGATACTCAATCAAATTACAGAGGCTTACGACGTTCTTTTTCTTCATTAATTTTAAAGATAAGCAGTAATGACACAATTCGTTGTGAAATATGTAGCATATGGAAGTCAACTGCACAGCTCTGCGCTGTAGAAATGTTATGACGTCGTAAATATGAGACCCAAGTCAAAGCGCTACGAAATATTTCTGCGACCTGAAGCTCCCACATGTCCTGCTTTCGGAAGCAGCTAATATCAAATTGGTACGCTTGATAATTTATTGTCGAATATGACATATTATTTTTAATTCACTGCTCACAAGTTTTCACGGCGTAGAGTGCTCGTTGTATAACGGAAACTTTGCCTCAGGTTGGTAAACTAGACAGTAATGTCTTCTATTTCATTCATATGTGCTTATTTGCTTGTCAATCACTATATCCCTCTGGAAAATGAGAGAATAAAGAGGTTGAATGTTGTTTTTGCAGGTGACCAGCTGTAATTTCCTCCAAGTTTCAGAGAAACATTCACATAAGGAAGCTACAGCTCCACAAGTGGGATGCAACTGGAACTGTCTCGAGTGGTTCAGGGATGTCGCCTGGGAGTTTTGACTGGACTGGGAAAATCAGGGCAGCATTCTCTAGAGGTGCCCGGCTGTCTGCTGTACACTCGCTGTGCAACTGTTCCCCACCTGACCCAGGACACTTTACACACTTTGAGAGACCTGCCATCAGTTACACAGGTGTCAGTGGATTGCCTGTAAGAATCTAGTTATACTCATACATAAGTTATAAATTCAGCTTATACGTTCAGGGACAGGGATTCACTGAATATTTGGCCAGTAGTTTTTCTAACCAAACATGTGGGACTGTAAAATGAAATAATTTGCTGTCAGATCACAAAATTTGATGTTGAGACAACTTGAATTTTTCACAGCATTCCCAGTGGATGGAAGTCTATGAAAGTAGTGATTTATTATATTTTTGTCTTGTCATCTGTAAAGTTACCTTGAGTTCCTGGTAGGCACTTTCTACATGTATACAGATCAAAAGTTCAATTTATTGATTGACAGCTCTCCTGTCCCCTTGTTGAGAGAAATCAGAAGATGTTACTGTAGTTCTAAAATAAATATGAATATGCATTAATTCATCTCACTCACAAAAAAAACTGATTCAGTATTCCTCAAAATGAATACAAATAATGCAACTCAGAATATGACGCAAACCTGCAATAATTAAATGTTAAACAACACATGTCCTTTATGTATTTAATCCCATTCTATTAACCAATGTCTTTGTTTCTGACCTTCGATGATCCAGTTCAACCATACTAATAAGCAAAAATTACTCTAGACAAACATTTGTGTGTCTTTTTTATTGCTAAAGTGTGTTGAACTTTCTTCTTCTGCATTCTACTATACGGACATAAATGTAATTTCCCTTCAGGCTGAGGCTTATTCATTTCACTTTTGGTGTGAAAAGGCTTTTATATTTGCCAAAAATATAACTTTTTTATTTTAAAAACAAACAAGCAAGCAAGCCCTGTCCAGATTTAAAAGTAACGCAAAAGTAACGTAACGCATTACTTTCCATAAAAAGTAACCAAGTACCGTAATTCGTTACTTTTTATGGAGTAACGCGGTATTGTAATGCATTACTTTTAAAAGTAACTTCCCCAACACTGCATACACCTGAAGGGGTTTTCATTGCGCATTTGAGCTAAATACTTCTGCTGAGCCACAAATCTATTCATTACTAATAACCAATGTGAATGACCAAAGATAACCTGAGTGTGACATATATTTAGATGAATACCTCTGGCTGAATATTGTAAAAAAGGAAACGAAGGAAAACACGAAGCTACATCTTTGAAGAACTGAGTGAGAAAAGAGGAAGCAGGGTTTACTCGCCTTAATACTGCCTGGTGTTTTTGTCTTTGTCGTTTTCCAACGAAAAATATCCGGTCTGTGAATGGGATTTGCCATGGTCGCTTGTACATGGGCATGCATTTGGATTGTAAGCTAATATAATATGTTTTCACATGTTTTCAAAGTGTATGTAGCAGCAATTTACAGTATATGTTATACAAATTTAGCTTCGTCGAAACATTCATGTACTTAAGTGAGAAACTTTTCGCCCAGCAATGGAATTGTGGGATTTGTAGTTTACGCAAAGTGATGTAGCATGAGTTGACGCCTAAGAAAAACTACATATCCCAACAAGAACCGACGAGGACTGAAGCGTCTACTTTGAAACCATGGAGACAGTACGCCGGCTCTTGTGTGGCCATAGTTGATCTCAAAGGTGAACTACTAAGCTACTAAATGCATTTATTTCAGACGCTGACCCTACAATTGTGTTTTTTAGTATTTCACAATTGTAAATGTAACAACCGGTATTGCAATATTTGTTGTTTAGCCTATTGTGTGAAAATCAAGGTGTGCAAATTAAGTAAAATTCCCAGTTCCCAAGCTAAATGTGGAATTAATTACGTTAACCTATAGTAAACCGTTTTTGTCTGTTTAGTTTTTAACTTTAAAATATAGAAGTTAGAATGATTTCATGTTCTATAACCAGTGCAACATATATCAAAATTATTACTTTTCTGGGAAGATAAAACAAAAACCTTTTCAGAAGTAATACAGTTTTGCATTTTATTTGCTTTGCCACAACATATTTCAAAACCACATAACTGTGACCATTACATTTTACAACAACTCTTTTGTAACATATCAAAATTCTATATTTTCAGGTAGGCTATATGGTTTAACCAGAATGTTTTTTCTTTTTTTTTTTACAAGTCGAAAATGAGCAAACTGAATAAAAATAAATAACTACCTCACACTGGAGGTCAACATGTTAAACATGCACGTAGTGCAATAACATTGCAAAAATGTGTATATTGTGCAATAAAACAGTAAACGAGCAAACAATACAATGCTCAGTGAAAAAAACCCTTGATCAAATCATTGTTATCATCTTTATCACTTTAATTTCTTCTATGCACAACATAAGTTAATTATTGAATGCAAAACAATGAAACCGTTAGTTCTTAGCATTTATTGCTATACAACAACATATGTGATTTTTTTCTCTTCAATGTTTTTCTCTTCAGAGTTAGTTCTTGTATGCAATGCAGACCTCTTGGTTCAACAAGCACCTGTCATGTGTTATCTCTTCACTCAGAAGCACAACGGACTAAGTTACTGCAATGCAATATACATGTTATGTCTACAATGCATAACGGATGAGTTAGTTCATTCGTTCATTATTTTTTATGTTTACATTTGTTAAAATATGCTTTGTAATTAGCAGCAGAAAATATATAACACTAAAATAACTGAATCAGCTAAATTAATTGAGCAGCTCATGCTCATTACCATTTTTCTGAATGTGACAAAGTCATCAATACTGTTTTAAGGTTAACAGCCCGATATATCATATATGTCACCACAATATTTTCGTAACTTGTTTTATATCAATTTGTTCAAGAAATATATTAAAAAGACAGATGGTAAAATAATAATAACAACTACAACATTAATAGGGGTTCTCAGTAAGTTTAAGATACTCAATCAAATTACAGA